TTAAAATAATCCAACTTTTATTTTTGTTGATCTCTTTTGAGACTATTATTTAAAACAAAAATAAAAGTTCGGATTATTATTAGAAGATATCAATATAAGTTGGGATTATTATATAATAATCAAAAGTTGGGATTATTAAAAGAAAATCGGTTAAAGTTGGGATTATTAAAATCAATTTTTCCTATAGATTATTAATAAAGTTTGTTTTAATTACTAATTTGCCATGTTTGAGAAACATCAATGTTTCTCATTTAGAGAAACTGGGGCAAGCCCACTTAAATCAAGTGTAATTAACGTTCGACTTTTTTTTTTTTGGAAAGAAAACAATTAATGTTTGATTTAAGCTTTACTCCCTTCGTTTCTTTTCTAAGGTTACGTTTGGGTTTTTCTCATGTATTAAGAAAATTCTTTTGATGTCCTTCAAACAAAAATTGTTTTGAGAGTAGGGAAAATTACAATACAATCTATAATAAAATAGAGTAAGTAGTACGAGTAATCAATAGTGTATGTAATTCTAGAGGAACTTAACCATCACAACTTTCCATAATTCTAAACTTAGGGTGAAAGTTAAATTCGTGTGAAAGGAGAGATAAAAGGGAATATTGATGATGTGGCGTCAATTTGTAAATTTAAAGATAAGGTTTTCGCTTGTTACGTGATTGAAAATTTGTACAAACTAGTGGCTCATCGTGCTGGACTAGTGGTACGCACACCGTGTGCATGCATGCTTCAATATTCAACCTGTTCGATTCTTTCTCCATTCAAAAGTAAGCAAGAATTAATGCTTGCTTTTCCAACATATATAGCATATATGCATTCTATTGTGTTGTGTCACATTACTTCTATGCTTTACGCAAATTTGATTAAGTGTATACTTGGTTGACATTGAAAAAACATGAAAAGTTGCTTATATTCTAGGATTTTTAGGTTGGGATTTTGACTTCTAACAAAATGGAGAAAATTGTTAACATGTTAAACAATCGTGTTTAATTTTACTACCTCTTATATTTCCCCTTCCAGCTAGATATATACATTCTTGTATGTGTTATGTATAGTTCTTCATAAAAAAAATGTGCATTGTATAGTATCTTAACGTGTAATTTTAACCTTGGTTTGGCCTCTTACATTTCCCTCAAGGAGTATGTGATCAAGGAGTATGATGTAGAATAATATTTTCTCCCTCTTTAAAATTCATCTTATTTTAACAGGATTTATTTCGGAATATGTAGATTTATAAATTAAAGTAATAGATTTCTTATGTTGAAATTCGTTGTGAAAAATGAACCATAAATGGCCGGGTAGATTAAATTGTTGGTTGCCTCTAGGAGTATGCATCATCATATTGTAAGTAACGAGAGTATACATAGTTCTCTCAAAACAAGGAGTATGCATCATCAATTCATCATCATCAAGTGCTACTAACATTATTTAGGCCTTGTTGGACAATTAGCTTTTACGTTGCCTTTAATTTCAAAGTATTGTCTCTACCAAAACACTAGAGAAAAAGTAAAGTTAAAATAGAAACCTAGGAAGTATTTTGTAAGGTTATCCATCCTCATATATAGTAAGCTTGGAATGATGACTTTAACAATAACAACATGGCTTAGACAAATAACACTCTTAATTAAAAGGTAAACGTTTTCACATTCTTTAAAACCACCTTTTCAAAATGTAGTCTAGAATAGCTATTATTGTTAATTTATTTTCCATATGATGATATACTATAAATTCAACCATATATAATCTCCACTTTTAGTGTAGCTTGTTTTTTAACCTTTAATCTTGTAATTTTTTTCCTACTTTTCAATAAAGAGATGTAACTATTTTCTTAATATCACCTCCATGCATATGCATGACTCATGTTCTTAGCGTGTACTTGAGTGCATATTATTCGTTTACAAAATTGACAAATTATGATATTTGCCACTTTTTTAAGGAACAATTGGTGTGCTTGTAGTACAAGGCAGTTGGCAACAGCGTTACGTGCATGCGAGTTGAGACCATATTATGATTATATTCGGCGGTGCATGCAATGGTTGACTTTCTTCTCTAAATCTTCATTACTCTACCTATTTAGTCGCTTAATTAAATTGCGAACCTTCTCAGATCATGCTAATTAAAGTTATAATTGATTAACACAAAAAATCTAGAACAATACTTCCTCCGTTTCTATTTAGTTGCCACGTTTAATTTAGGTACACATATTAAGGAGAGGTGAGAGAGTGAGAGAGGTAGCTAGTAAATGCAAAGTATAAATCTTACCCAAAAAGAAAACGGGTCAACTGAAAAAAACTTGCTAAAAAGGAATACATGTTAACTAAAAAAAAAATGGAGGTAAGTAATAGTTTAGGTGTTAATCAAGTGACGTGCATGCCCCATTGACAAACAATGGAATTCCTTCTTCCAATTCTTCCCACCCTACTGCCCATTAAGGTAAAAACTACAAAGTGTATTATACTAATTATATAATTAAGATGTCGGTAATTTTGTCTTCTGAAGACAAGGAAGCTGCCAAGCACGTGGTTAGAATTAGATTATTGTGGTCTTAATACAAATGTTCATTTATATTCGGTGTATTAATGTTGCTTTGTTGAATGCATATGACTTTCATTTTATTCATTTAGATTTGTTCAATGCATTTAAGTTTTATTTGGTTCAATTAGCTCTGTTCGAATATGTTTGACTTTTATTTGATTCAATTAGCTTTGTTGAATGCATTACCATTTACATATCAAGGTATATATACAACTTTTTCCTTCAATTCTTATGGGTACGGTGAAGCTCAAGTTAAAGAATTGAATAATTTATGCTTAAATTTTGTGATATTAATTGAATCAAAATAATATGGTTAATCGTTTACATGTCAAGCTTTATTTTCCGCCGTTGTCTTTTTAAGCTATATTGTATTACTTTATTACAGTTTACCGCGCTTTCCTCTTGGATTTGAAAAGATCGATGCATCCTACTTGTACCTACTTTTAGTTTATTAATCACATACAACTAATGTACTTAACTATACGCTCTTTTTTGTAGATTTGGATCCGTATTAAAATATGAGAGATGGAGAATAGTGCAATGGTGGTGGTTGATGTACATGGACTAAAGGGTAGATGAATTTCCCTTTCCATTTAAAAAAAAAAAGAAAAAAAAAATTAATAAAACCTTAGGAGAAATAAGGGTGTGTTGTTGCTTTCCTTTTACCCTTTTCCCCTTTCTTAATGTTTTTTTCCTCCTTGCAAACACCCCCTTAACAATTTTGTGAATACTTAAAATATAGGATATTTTAGGTGGTGTATGTCTCAAAATCTTGACAACATTTCTTAGAGGTAAAATTACATTCATTGACATAAATTATGGCATAACTACAACCATTGCCATACATGAACGTGTCTATACAATTATATTTATGAACCTTATCACCGGATACACTCAGTGACATGAACTTAATTGCTAGCTAATTATCATCAAAATAAGTCTTTAGCTTATTATAGCAAATGACTAGGGTCCGTTTGGTAGGGTGTAAAACATTTTCAATGTAAAATGGTTTTCCATGAAAATCATTTTACAATGGAAAACTCATTTTTAAAAAAGTTTTCCGTTGTTTGGTTGAATGGAAAATGATTTTCCATTTTAAGCATTTTCCATTGTTTGGTTGAACTGAAAATTCAATTGTGATGGAAAATGTTTTCCCTTCACTTGTGATGGAAAATGTTTTCCTTCTAAATTGGGGGGAAAATGTTTTCAATAGGGTGGAAAATGATTTTCCACCCCAAGTTTTACATTTTAATGTTTTGCACCAAACCAAACAATGTAAAATGGAAAAACACTTTTCAGTGAAAATGTTTTACGCCGTACCAAACGGAGCCTAAGTTTAGGACTTAATTAAACACCCCTCAAAGCTTCTCTTAAGAACTACAAACAAAACCCAAAATTGGGCCAGACAACAAAAGATAATATTTGGGCCAAACCCAATGTTTACAAGCGCTAGTACACTTTTGGCATAATGGGCTGAACCCTTAAATATTTAGTATGAGAAAAATGGAGGAGGGAAAGAAAATGTAAACAGTGGTTAATTAGAATGTTACATTTTGTTGATTTAGAACAGAGAATTTTGCTACCTCCACTGAATGTAGGGACTAATTTATGCAATAATGTTATGCATCAAATTCGTGCGTGTAGCCGTGTAGGTGAAGAAGGTGTGAGTAGCAAGCTCAACGTCTGTCCTGCAATTATCGTGCAATACATTGTAGATGTCATCCTGGTTAGCTGTCTCACTTTCTCATGTCGCGTTACTCTAATTTGATTGTTCTACTGATCGAGTGTCTAGCTAGATGTGATTCAATTGTCGAGTTGCAGATCGAATGTCTCAAGCTGTTATGTCCTAGGACAGGATGGATTTTGAGTGCTAGATCTAGCCTAGTGAAAGAAGCTTAAGTTAGCTACACAGATTTTATGGATTATGAGTCTCTGCTACGTATATATGCATTGAAATGTATAATCACTATAGTTGCCAATGGTAGATATAAAGTGTAAATACTAATTTGTTGGCTTAATATTTTGTATTGTAGTACACAGCTACACAACAATACATGGCTTAAGAGTAAATACAAAAGCAAGGTACTAATATTTGCCAAAAGTTGCAGTTAAGGTACTCAAGTTTTAAAAGTTGCACTTAGAGTACTCAACCCAAAAATCACCTACTATAACAGGTTACCATTTGCAAAAAAAAAAAAATAAAAAAAAAAATAAAAAAATTGCTGACATAATGACAGAGGGTACTAATATTTGGTGATTTTCAATTCTTGTTTCTGTTACAAAGTAGCCGTTGGACTAATTAGTTCTTTCATATATATACTTCCCCATTACCATCTTCAACAATCAGACCCTGCATCAAATTGGAGAAAAAAAATAAATAAAAAAATATATATAAATTCACAAGCAACATTTCAATAGTATCAAGGAAAATCGAGTAAATTTTTTTTTTTTTTTGAAACTTAAACATGTCAAGGCTGAGCAACTCAGGAAGTAGATGTCACTGTGGTTTGTTGCTGTCTAAGAGCAGGGCTTGGACAAAAGATAACCCTGGTAGAAGGTTCCTTGCTTGCCTTGACTATGATTCAGACTCTAAAAGGAGGGGCTACAAATATTCTAAGTGGGTGGACATGGAAGACCCCAATGTTATTGACATTATAATGGGGCTTATGCAAGAGAAGCAGGAACTCAAGAATGAAGTTATGTCTATGTGGAAGGAATTGAAGAAAGCAAACCAGTATGCTAGGAAGATTGAAAGTGATTATTTGATGCTGAAAATAATATTATACTAAGTACGTACTAGTTAATCTTACGTTGGTTGGAGAATTACAGTATATATATCTTATGGTCTTACCTATATAAAAAGTAAAGAGTGAGTATCTAGGGGGAATCTTTGTAATAATACTTTAAGAGAAAATTATTAGGGTTTTTCTATGATGTGCCCTTATATTTTAAATATTTACACGTTGTACACCTACTTCTGAAGAAACTCAATGATATCCACTTTGTTTTTGTCTTTTTGAAGTGTTTTAATGATGCCTTAACGTTATCTTTTTATTCATAAATTTTGTTAAGAAAAAATTCATATGTTCTAAAACTTCGTATCAATTTCTGATCAAGAGCTGAAATAATAATGATGTGTCAACAATAATCATAAACTGGAATAAAAAATGATTACTGTTAACATTATGGTAAGATAAGGTAAAGCAGTTGCCAAATCCACAAGATCAATATCATCAACTGGAAAAAAAATAAAAATAAATGAGAACCAAGTTATAATTTACGAACTATAGTGTGCTACAAATTTGTTCAATCAGCAATTCTTTTTCTATTCCCCTGCTTACCCTTGTTTTGATTTAAATGATTGATAAAGAATGACTAGTTATTGTTATTGGTGTAGATAGACCAGCATCCCCTGCTAACCCTTGTTCCATTTTACGTGCATCGGTGTTGTTTGAATTTTAAATAAACTAGACGGTGCGTAAGAATTTTTTTGTCAAAGGAGCAACTAGGGGTACTCGAGGAATTTGGCAATATTTTAGGTTATGTTTAGTTCATCTTATTTCTGTTTATCTAATTTAATATAAATTTATTTTTTTCCGATTTGATTTGATTGTCTAATTTAACTAAATTTTGACCTTTATGTACTTAATCTATAATAAGGAATTCGAAAAATAAATATTAAATAAGGTCTTATAAAATATATATTAATGTGTTTTTTCCAAATACTACCTCCGTTTCAATTTATGGGTTATTCAATAATAATAAGTATAAAAAGGGACTAAAGGGTTACTCTTTTTGTGTTATAGGAGTACTTTTTTTTTTCCAAGCAGGCACACAGTGTGGCCACTGCCAATCCGCACAGAAGACGCACTATTTTCTAAATATGTAATTTATTTTATTACTTATATTTTTTATAGCAATAAAAAAATCGCAAATAAAACAATACTGTAGTTTTTTTGCTTGAATTTATTTTTTCCTGATCTAATCTATAATAAATAATATGACACTGTTAAAAAAAGTCAACCAAACATACGCCCTCCGTATTTTAATAAGTGTTACACTTTGACCGACACATAATTTTAAGCAATTTAATTGACTTAAATAAAATAAGAGGTAAGTGAGGTACTTTGGTTATTAAAAAATTATAAAAGAAAAATAGTGATGTTAATAGTTTAATAAAAAGTGATGAATGTGAGAGGAAAGAAATACGGAATAACAAAAGAAAGTAGTAGTGAGTTTGGGTGGGACCATGAGAGGAGAAAGATATAAGATTAAAAGAGTAGCTTTTTTCTAAAAAACAAAGTGTAACACTTATTAAAACACGACCACATTTGATAAGTATAACACTTATTAAAACACAAATTCAGTAGCATTAGCATTAAAGTGAAAAACCATTCAAAGTATTGATGTGGAATCTTTGTACGTTTATTTGTCGAAGGATTATTTAAGAGATTAAACATTATTAATGTACATGCTTGTCAACACTCTCATAATAGGTTGATTAGCTTCGTTTAAACCGCTTACGCATACCACTGCATGAAACGAGCATGCATGCATAGCACACTGCAGTCCAACGGATAAATCAATTGGTGCACCCCTGATGAGTTCTTCAAGGTAACACCAAGAACGTGAAAAAGAATGAGTGGCCAAACTTATAATTTCTTCCAAACCAAAATATATACGTGTCACTAACTGCACCACCGTGCCATTATATTTGTAATTTGTTCAATTTTACTTCTAATACATAATTAAGTTCAAACAAAAATATTCATTGACTTACATATATATGAGTTCAGATAAAAATAGATACATATTCAGTATTATATTGTACTTCCAATCTTGTCTTATTATCTACGTATTATAAACATCTTGAAGACATCGGATTCAATTACTAATGAAATTTACGGTGAAGAACAGCAAAAATTGAGAGAGAATCTAGAGAAAAGAAGAAGGAGAATTTGTATTGATTGAATGAATAATGTTTTCCGTGGAAATACAAGTATATATAGTTTTGCTAGCTGTAACAAACTAATAAACTATTACAAGCTTTCCAATTCTATTATAACAGAATAGTAACAACCTGCCTAGTCATCATCCAAGCTCGCAGCTTGATCATCATCATGATCATCAACATCCCCCCTCAAGCTAGGGATGGTATCAGTATACATGCCTAGCTTTGACTTGAGCTTGTTATGCTGACTTGAACCCAAAGCCTTAGTGTTCTGCTGTAGGAGTATAGGATAGCTAAATCAACCCTTCTAACACTCACTACTACAAAATGCATATAATCTCAACGCTATACCCTCGACGCTAGGAAAGACCGTCATAGTTAAATTTAGGATCCCGTGTTTTTTCGACGTTTTTAAGCGTCATTTGACTTTCTTGTCTACTTTCCGCGTCAAAAACATAAAAATAGTCACGTACCTTGCACGTGATATACCTTGTAGCCAACGTTTTAGGGTTATCTCCTTTCAATCCTTCATCTCAACCGCCACCCTCTCATCTTCGATTCTCTCTCCTCTACTCTCTTAGTAGTCACCAGTCTCAATCCATCCTCAAATTTCCATTCTTTGCTCCTAAATTATTTGGTTAATGAATTTTTTTACTCTGTATCATCACAAGATCGGAAAATCTCAAGTCAGTTAGGCATTAATCGCAGATTTAATTTTTTTTCACATCTCGTTTTATTAGTCTAATTGAAGTCAATCGACAATTCATTTATATTAGTTGTAATACCCCGTAAGTGTGAGTTTTTGTTGGAGAAAGTAGAATTTCTAGATCATTTTGTGTCCAAGGATGGAGTAAAAGTAGATCCAGCAAAGATTGAGGCAGTGAAAGGATGGCCTACACCAAAGACGGTGTTTGACTTAGGAGTTTCTTAGGTTTAGCAGGGTATTATAGGCGTTTTGTGAAGGGCTTTTCTAAGATTGCTAAGCCTATGACCTCTCTAATGAAGAAGGACAAGAAATTTGAGTGGGATGAGAAGTGTGAGGAAGCTTTCCAACTCTTGAAACAAAAGTTGATTACAGCACCAGTGCTTACACTGCTAGATGATAGTGGAATTTATGATGTATACAGTGAAGCATCCAAGAATGGTCTGGGATATGTGCTTATGCAAAATGAGAAGGTGATTGCATATGCATCAAGACAGTTGAAACCTCATGAAGTAAACTACTATACTCATGACTTAGAATTAGCTGCAATCATTTTTGCACTAAAGATTTGGAGGCATTACTTGTATGGGGTAAATTGTAGGATTTACACAGACCATAAAAGTTTGAAGTACATTTTCACCCAAAGAGACCTAAACTCTCGCCAAAGGAGATAGTTAGAATTTACAAAGGACTTCGACTTGAACATACTAATACTATGAGGGGAAAGCAAATGTAATTGCAGACACTCTAAGTCGTAAGACCAGTCATGGACTGAACACTTTGATAGCGGTTGATGAGTTGTGTAGGGAAATGAGGAAAATGAACTTAGAAGTGGTAGAATGGGGAGCACCAACGAGTATACTTGCGAATCTGAGTATTCAACCAACAATATTTGATGAGATAAGAGAGAACCAAGCAGGAGATGTTAAGTTGGATAAGATTCGTGAGAAAATAAGGCAAGGGAAGGCTACAAATTTCATAATTCATGAAGGTGGAAGTTTAAAGTACAAAGGTAGATGGTGTGTACCTCATAAGCGTGAAGAAGTAAAGAGAAAATTGATGGAAGAAGGTCACAATACACCATACTCAGTACACCTAGGAGGGATAAGCTATACAAAGATTTGAAAAAGATGTATTGGTGGCCTAGAATGAAGAATGAAGTTACGAAATTTGTAGCAAAGTGTCTAACTTGCTAAAGAGTGAAGATAGAGCGTAAGAAACCTTGCAATCATTGGAAATTCCTGGATGGAAGTGGGTATTTCAATGGACTGTGTGACTTGCCTCCCAAAGTCGAAGAATGGGAATGATACCATTTGGGTCGTGGTGGATAGGCTTACTAAATTTGCAGTGTTCATACCAATGAAGAAGACCTAGAAGATGGAGCAACTTGCAAAAGCTTACATCAAAAATGTTGTGAGGTTACATGGAGTTCCAAAGGATATTGTGTCTGATAGAGATTCTAGGTTTCTCTCGAAGTTTTGGAAGAGTGTTCAAGAAAACTTTGGTACAACACAAAAGATGACTACATCATTTCACCCGGCCACAGATGGACAAACTGAGAGGACTATTCAAACCTTATAAGATATTTTAAGAGCTTGTGTCATTGACTTCCAAGGGGGATGGGAAGATAGCTTGGACTTAATTGAATTTTCTTATAACAATAGTTACCACACAAGCATTGGCATGGCTCCATTTGAGGCATTATATGGAAGGAAGTGTCGCAGCCCTATATGTTGGAATAGCATAAGTGAAACAATGATCTTAGGGCTTCAAATGATTGAGGATACAGTTAAGCAGGTAAAAAAAATTCAAGCTAAGATTCAAGCGGCGTAAGATCGCCAAAAGAGCTATGCAGATTTAAAGCGTAGAGAGGAAGAGTTTGAGGTTGGTGACAAAGTATTACTAAAGGTGTCACCTATGAAAGGTGTCATGAGATTTGGGAAGAAAGGAAAGCTTAGCCCAAAGTATATTGGCCCATATGAAATATTACATAAAGTAGGCAAGGTAGCTTATAGGTTGGCCTTACCTATGGAACTAAGTAAAGTGCATGATGTATTTCATGTATCTCGGTTAAGAAGGTATATACCTGACAAGTCATACGTGCTACAACCCGAAACAATTTAGTTAGATCTTGACAGTAAAAACTACTAGAAATAGGCCGTTTTCCAACGGAATCGTTCTGACGGACCTAAATTCCGTCGGAAAATTGGAACTTTCCGACGAAATTAGGGTTTGTCAGAAAATTCCGTCGGAAAAGGTAGGTTACGTTGGGCTGGTGCTAGTTGTGGTTGATGAGAGAGAAGAGAAAAGGAGGAGGAGGAGAAGCCAATCGAAAATAGAGAGGAGAAGGAGAAGAGATCAGTGGAGGAAGGAGGAGAGAGATTACGGGGAGAAGAAGGAGGAAGGAGAAGAGGAGGAGAGGAGAGAGAAAGGGAAAAAAGGCAAAAGAGAGGAGAAAGAAAAGAGAAATGAAAGGGGGGGGGGGGATTAGGGTTTCCGGGTTTTTATGTTTTTTTTTTTAAATAAGATTCCGACGGAAATTCCTTTGGAAATTTCCGACGGAATAATAATCCGTCTGAATATTTGGGATTTCCGAGGGAATATTCCGTCGGAAAATTTCGACGGATTTTAATTTCGTCGGAAATTTAACTTTCTGACGGAATATTCCGTCGAAAGCCTATAGTTCCGAGGGAATTTATTTCCATCGCAAGAATTCCGACAGATTTTCCATCGTAACCTACCTTTTCCGATGGAATTTTCTGACAGACCCTAATTCAGTCGGAAAGTTCGAATTTTCCGACGGAATTTAGGTCCGTCGGAACGATTCCGTTGGAAAACGGCCTATTTCTAGTAGTTTTTACTGTCAAGATCTAACTAAATTGTTTCGGGTTGTAGCACGCATGACTTGTCAGGTATATACCTTCTTAACCGAGATACATGAAATACATCATGCACTTTACTTAGTTCCATAGGTAAGGCCAACCTATAAGCTACCTTGCCTACTCTATGTAATATTTCATATGGGCCAATATACTTTAAGCTAAGCTTTCCTTTCTTCCCAAATCTCATGACACCTTTCATAGGTGACACCTTTAGTAATACTTTGTCACCAACCTCAAACTCTTCCTCTCTACGCTTTAAATCTGCATAGCTCTTTTGGCGATCTTGCGCCGCTTGAATCTTAGCTTGAATTTTTTTTACCTGCTTAACTGTATCCTCAATCATTTGAAGCCCTAAGATCATTGTTTCACTTATGCTATTCCAACATATAGGGCTGCGACACTTCCTTCCATATAATGCCTCAAATGGAGCCATGCCAATGCTTGCGTGGTAACTATTGTTATAAGAAAATTCAATTAAGTCCAAGCTATCTTCCCATCCCCCTTGGAAGTCAATGACACAAGCTCTTAAAATATCTTATAAGGTTTTCCGCTCCCCCTTGTTGTGCGTGTGTCTTTTTTTAAAAAAAAAAAAAAACTCTTCTTTCGTTTTAAAATTATTCTAGCCTTGATTCAATTATTATTTTTGGGTTTTGTGATGATTTTTATGATGTTTGATTATAATTATTATGTATATAATTTTCAGATTCAGTTTTTGAATTAAAAAGCCCTAATTTGAAAACCCTAGGTTTCTAGATTAATGTGTGTTGATGGAAATCGATTGTAGGTGATTGAAACTAATGAATTAGATGTTTTAAAAAGTAATTACAGCAATTTTACATGTTTCTATAAAGCTGGAATTTTTATATAAAGGTTAAAATTGTGTTTCTTGAATGGATTTTTAATTACCCATTAATTGGGAATAAAAGTAAGGGTTTTAAATTAATTTTCAGCTTGTTTTAGAGGGCTTATAAGTGATTTAAAGAGTGTATATATTGCTAGAAATTTATATTTAGCAGGTATTAATGTCTCTTTGTAATTTTGGGTTGTAGAAGATTTTCAAGTGAGTGATTTTGTGTATTCGTGACGATTTTGAGATCATATTCAAGGTACGTTCGCGTACTCGGTAATTATTTAGGTGTATATATAGAAGCATGTTAGGTTTTGTTATTATTAATTCCATGGTAATATCATGTTAGGTGTGAATTGGAATGGGTGATTGGATTGATGTTGGTGGTTGATTTATGATGTGAATTATTTATGATGGATTAATAATGGAATTAATTATATTGGCATGTTGATTATGAACTACACTTTATTTATTGGCATGATTGAGAGCATGATTAATTAAACTAAATGTTTAAATTGGTTTAGAATATAAAAAAGGGAATTTTATTGTAGTTCATATTATTTTTATTGATGCTTTAAGCATGAGGATTGAGCTATCAAGTGTCTTAGTACACAGGAATAAAATATTGTGTGGTGCCTATGTGAACTTAAGGTGTTCTAAACACCGAGGGATAGGATTTGCGGTGCTTTATGCACTTAAGGTCGGTGTTATTTAACATCGAGGTAGTTTAAAAAGGATTCAACATTAAATTATGTGGTCACTAATTATATATTTAAGAATTAAATTGGTATGTTTGATTGTTTGAATGATTTATTATGGTTTATTGTGTTATGGTTTAAGAGTCGTCACCAAGTCTAAAAATGTGTAAACAACGTAAAGTGAAAGAGATTACGCACCAAAACTCTTGGAACGTATATACCTCGAGTATGGACATATGGGGGGGGTTATGGGGTTTTATTTTTAACCATGACTTCTACTGGGATTACAAGACGCTGTATTTTCCTTTTTATTATTATTATGTGCATGACGTCCAGTCACTTCATGTGGCATTTGCCTACCCGGTTAGCTCCCGGTGTAGTTTACCTCGATTTACTTGGGGCAGGGAATTGGTGGGAAACCAGTTCGATGCGTAATCAAATTAATTAAGCAATTTATTTGTCCATTTCTTTGTTGGTTGTGTTGTGTGCTTGAAAACAGGTGCATCAACGTAAGTTGTGTGTTGATAGGGTTAAAGCATGTTAGTGTGTATTGTTTACGCTTATGTACTTAGCATTGCTGATTGTGTGTTGTGTGTTTGTTTGGCCTTGTCTTTATCTTGGCCCTACGACGACCCATTTCTAAAGGGGAGTAGTAGGGACAAAGTAAAGAGAAGCTTTTCAGGTGATGAAGCATATTCATGATGGGCATGAGTGAAGAACGAATCATATATAGTTTTCATAAGAATATGATGCGGATTGTTGCTTTAATTACTATATATTTTGCTTGTGAGACTAGCGCAAAGGTTTTCAAATATTTTATATCGGTTTTATTAAGGGACTATAATGGTTCCAAGTTGTAGGTTGGCTTTGTTTGACTTTACTTTCGTTTGATTTGACTTTTTAAGTTGATTTGTTTTGAATGGTTTTAAAGAGAGTCTTCCGCTGTGTGTCTTTGATATTGCCTTAGCCATTTTCACGGTGGCGGTAATGTCTTGGAATTTCCTATTTCATATTTTGAAAGGGCAAAACATGTATTTTAAGGGAAAGGAATTTCTAGAGTGTTACATTAGTCTTCTATTGTATGTAGTTTACTCCTAACTTCACTCATTTTGATTTGTTTTCAGGTATAATTCTATAATTTTGTATTTTAATTTGGGTATTTTCTCTAATCTGTGTTTATCAAGGTTTTTTTTTTTCCTCTTATTTATCAAGGATTCTGATTTTAGGGTGTTAATTTCTTAATTTTTTTTCATTTTTTTTTAAAAGATCTCACTTGATATATCATGGATGATGAAAATGGAAAAAGCAGAGATGGATTGTGATTTTTCATCAACTTTTCATGCACTAACCTCGATGTCATGAAGCTAATTATCACCATTACACGCGAGTATATTCTCTCTTGTTTAAATTACTATTTTTTCCCCATTATTTGGGTATAAATTTCATCGACTTTTATGTTTTCGGTTTAATTTTGTTTGTTTTTGGCAATTTAGTGTTTAAGAACTTTGTTGTTTGATTGACAATTCAATTGGGTGAATTTACTATTTAATAATAATTTGGATTTTTTTTAGTTAAAATCTGGTTTAGTAGCAGGATTTTCACTTGATTTTGACATATTTTGTATAAGTTTTTTTTTAGTAAAGTTTATCTTGTGCAAAATTTGCTATAACTGTTTTCATACAGAACAATCTTTTTGGTGAAGAGATGCTCAGCGGTCGTATTTTTTTGCTCTTGCATTGGTCTGTTGAAATCACCTATGATTTTTAGGATCGAGTTTAATATTGTTGTGAGTTCTTGGAACTATCTCAATAGGCCTAAATATTTGATTTTTTTTTTTGAGAGGGAAAATAATTTCGACGCTTTTCATTGTCAATATGCATTCCCGCATATGTAATGATTATACCGCGAAAAACATATACCGACGCAGTAAAGTGTCAATATTCTCTATAATGACGTCATAAAGTGTCGAGATACACGACTATTTTAAGTGTCGAACTTTTTCCAGGCGTCGAGATTCTCGACGCTTTTATGTGTCAAGAAATCTCGATGGCCAAATTCTCGACACTTTTCTAAAGCGTCGAGAAATTGTTTTTCGATGCTTTTAACCGTAAAAAATATAGCAAAAAAAACGTCGAGAAACAACGGTATTTGTAGTAGTGATTGTATCCCTTGTGAAATGACAATCAATCTCTATATGCTTAGTGCGTTCATGAAAGACAAGATTTTTTCCTATATGTATAGCACTTTAATTGTCACATAAAAGAGTAACTGGCTTCAGATTCAATACACCTAACTCTGTTAGCAGCCTGACAAGCCAAGTTGTCTCTGAAGCTGTAGCTGCCATGGCCCTATACTCTGCTTCACTTGAGCTTTTAGAAATGGTAGATTGTTTCTTGGACTTCCAAGATACTAGAGATTTCCCAAGTAGCAGTACATATCATGTCACTGACCTTCTTGTGTTTGGACAGGCTGCCCAATCTGAATCTGAGTAGGCTGTCAAAGTTATCTGATCAGTAGCATACAACATGATACCTTGACCCATAGTGTGAGATGTGTATCTCAGAACATAATTAAAGCCTTCACATGAGATAATTTAACCTTGGTTGTTGCATAAACTGACTTAAGGTTTGAAGAGAATGAGAGATCTGGCCTTGGGTGTGACATAAAATTTAGTTTTCCAACTAATTCCCTATAATGTTCATGATCAGATTACAACAAATCACCTTCATCAGCCAAGAGTTTCACATTTGCTGACAATGGAGTCTTAGCAACTTTAGATACATCTATATTGCATTCCAGAAATAACTCCTTTGTGAATTTCTTCTAAGTCATAACTATTCTTTCCTGAAGATGAGACACTTCAATGCTTAAAAAATAATTTAAGATACCCACATCTTTAATGCTGAAAACAGAATGCAAATGATCTTTAAACCTCTTAATTTCTTCCTCATCTGAAACAGTGACTATAATATCATCAACATGCACCACAGCATAAGTAACCTTCTCTTCCAGTCTTTTAATGAACAAAGAATAGTCATTCTTTGATTGTTTATAACCCATTTTCTTCAGTTCAGTATTGAGCTTGGCAAACCATTGCCTTGAAGCTTATTTAAGTCCATAAAGAGGCTTTTTTAGCTTACAAACTAAATTATCTGAGGAACTTTCATGCAGACCTCCTTAATTAAATCTCCATGTAAGAAGGCATTATTGATGTCTAGCTGATACAAAATCCACTTCTTACTTGCTGCAATTGACAACAAGCATCTCATAGTTGCCATTTTAACAACAGGTGAAAAAGTTTCCATGTAATTAATCCCATACTTTTGTGTAAATCCTTGAGCAACCAATCTTGCTTTTAGTCTTTCAACACTGCCATCTGCTTTGAGTTTCACTTTGTGCACCCATTTGCACCCTATTGGCTTCTTGTCGTTAGGCAATGACACCAACTCCCAAGTTTCATTGCTTATCAATGCATGCATCTCTTTCTTCATAGCTTCCACCCAACCTGAATTTTAAGTATCTTCTAGGTAGCTAACAGGTTTTGTAACCTGTGTAGTCTTGTTAATCAAAGCCTTCATTGAAGTAGGATGCACTTCAAAAGTAACAATATTACACCAATGATCATTAACAGTTTCTGCTGCACAAACATAACTATCTAGATAGTTAGGTCTCTTCCTAGGCCTATCAGATTGTCTTACTGCTGGTACAGGGACAGGAACTTCTGGTACAAGTGTTTCTGGGGTTTAATTTGAGATTGAAGAATGATCTAGTGATCAGTTTCTTTACCATTGTCAAAAAGAAAAGGTTCTGGTATATCATATTCTGTATTTAGGTCAAATGAAGTGTTTATAGGTAAGAAAATTGGGTTATTTAATTTGTGGTTTGGTTCTGGGTTTCATAGTGAAAAGGAAAATGCCTCTCATAGAATGTTATATCTCTAGATATAACTATCCTATTAGAATTCAAATCAAACACCTTATAAGCTTTATGATCAGGTGGATATCCTAGCAAAACACAAGGTGATGCCCTTGAATCAAATTTTGATCTACCAGTTTTCAAAGTTGAAACATAACATAAGCATCCAAAAACTTTCAAATGAGACAGAACTGGCTTCTTGTCATGCAATAGCTCATATGGAGAAGTAAACTTTACAGAACTAAGAGGCATTCTGTTAATCACATGAGTTGCTGTCAACAAACATTCACTCCAAAAACTCACAGGAACTCTTGATTGAAAATATAAGGCTCTTGCAGTTTCTAGCAAATGCCTATAATTTCTCTCCACCATCCTGTTCTGTTGTGGAGTGTCTACACAGGATTTTTGGTGCAAAATGCCATTTACTCTGTAAACTTGAAGAATATCTCCCTCACATAACTCTATAGCATTATCAGTTCTGACACACTTAACATTTCTATCAAACTATGTCTTAATCAAAGCAAGCAAATCAATGAAAATCTTCGTAGCATCACTTTTATTTCTCATGAGAAAAGTCCATGTATGTCTGGAAAAATCATCTACAATAGTGAGAAAATAACTAAAACCATCATGAGTTTTAGCTTTGTAGGGACCCCATGTATTAATATGTAACAAGTCAAAGCACCTTTCTGCCCTAGACATACTTTCAGGAAAAGGTTTCCTAGTTTGTCTAGCCTTATGACAAATTTGACACACAATATCACCACCTACTTTATTATCAAGGCCTGAATTAACCATATACAACTTATTAAATGGCATGTGCCCCAATCTAAGATGCCAACGTTTAGCATCATCACCTGTCCTACTAACCAATTCAGAGTTTGCCACTTTCTCTTCCTGAGACACTTGCTTCTCTTCCTTTCCATCAACAGCATATAGGCCAGACACCATATTACCAAGAACCACTAACCGATTCAAAGTTGGTCCCTGAATCAAACATTTTTCATAAGTGAAAACAATTTCACATTCCAAATCTTTACATAATCTATGTGTATAAATCAAGTTGAATTTCAACCCCGGGACATGTAACACATTCTGTAGAGTAATACCATTATCAAAGTGAACTGCTCCTATGTGTTCTACAGTCACATGTTTTCCATCAGCAGTGGTAATTATATTTGGTTTCTTGTCAAAACACTTATATGACTCAAATAGGTGTAAATTGGAACAAATATGGTTAATTGCACCACTATCAACTATCCATTTTGCATTGGAACAAGTTAATAAGCAAGTACCTTCCATATGAGCCTGTGATTCTACAAGATCATCAATGTTCTGAGATTGTAAAGCTTTTAGTATGCAGTTGAACTTGTGGTTTTGTGAAATGTGAGTAACATGATCATCTGATTCTTCCTCCTCGTCAGCATAAGCAATAGTGGCCACTTTCTTTGCTCTTCCCTTAGCAAAATTAGGTGGATAACCATGAAGCTTGTAACACTTCTCAATTGAATAACCAGGAATTATGCAATGTTCACAGAAAGGCCTCATTCCAGCTACTACCAGCTTATTTCCATTGTTTGTTGAAAAGTCATCTTAGAACCTTGATCTTGGTTCCTGTAATTATTCTTCCTATAATTTGCTGCAAACACCATAGCTTTGCTATTCTTTTCATCTGCCAAACTTGCATGTCTCTGCTTTTCTTCTTACACGAGCAGTTTATATATATGCCATAGACATATTAGGCAAGGGGTGCATCATCAGAATGTTGGTCCTAACTGCAGTAAACTTACTGTCCAGTTTTATCAACAATTAAACCAGTTGTTGCTGCTTCAAGAAAATCTGTGTACAAATACATCCTAAGTTGTTGTAGGTAGGCAATGGATTAATCTGGTTAATATGATCCTATATGCTTTCGTTCGAGTAAAGAACTCAGTTATAGAAGTTTCTGATCCTTGTTTCAAATCTGCCAGAGATTGCTGCAATGTATACAGTTGAGGTCCTGAAGTCTGAGAGAATCTCTCTTCCAAATCCTTCTAAATTTCTTAAGAAGTACTAAGAAATAGCACACTCCTAGCAATCGAAGTTTCAAGAGATCTCAAAATGTATGAAATGATTATAGCATCACATCTTTTCCATGCTACACAATTAGGATCAGTTTCTGCTGGTTTTGGTAAGCTTCCATCTATAAAACCTATCTTATTCTTAGTTTCTAAGGCAATAACCATGTTTCTCTTCCATTCTCCAAAGGCTTCTCTAGAAAATTTCTCAGAAACTATGTAGTGTTTTTCGAAGGATTTATGTAATAAGGTGAAGTAGGATCAGAAGTTACAAAAGTTGAATTTGCTGCCATTTTCAATCAATTTGGCTAGAAAATAGACTAATATTATGATTGATTGATTCAATCAAAGAAATTATCAAAGAGATTTGTTCAAACTCTCAAGACTATGACTAAATCTGCAGAAATTTGAATCTATATACTAAGAAATTCAAGCAGAATTTTCAAGAAATTGATCGATTTATTGATTAATATGAAATAAACAGATTGAAGAACTATAATCAGAGTAGAATTGCGGAAAAGTAATTGAGTCAAACTTACTGGATTCACTGTAAGAAACCACAGGATCGAAGAAATTCTTTCTCCTGCTCTAATACCATAATGAAATTTACAGTGAAGAACAGCAAAAATTGAGAGAGAATCTAGAGAAAAGAAGAAGGAGAATTTATATTGATTGAATGAGTAATGTTTTCTGTAGAAATAAAAGTATATATAGTTCTGCTAGCTATAACAAGCAAATAAACTATTATAAGCTTTCCAATTATGTTATAACAGAATTGTAACAACCTGCCTAGTCATCATCCGAGCTGGGAGCTTGATCATTTTCATGATCATCAACAATTACACAAAAAATTTCATATTTCCATGCCACTAAGACTCACCTCCAACCTCTGGGCATCAATATATTTTTTTTCCTATTCTTGCACAGTTAAGAGAGGTTATGGAGTCCAGCATGCTAATGAACTAAACTAAGAGTGCTTGTCTTATTACAATAGATTAGCCTATAAAGCCTATAAAGAAAATGATTCTTTTTGTAATCCGATACTACATCTGCATCCCGCACTCAAGAAAAGAGGAACTACTATTGTTAACTACTCTCTCCTAATAAGTTTAGGTGAGATAAAACAAGGGCTAGTAAGTAGATAAGATAATATAAGAATTAATAATAGGGTTCGGGTTAGGATTAATTAGCTTAGATAAGATGAGAATTAGGGCTTATTTAGTTCACCTTATTTTTTCTTATCTGAATTTATCTGATTTGACCTGATCTAATCTGAACTTATTTTTTCTAAAATAAGTAAAAATAAGTTGAGCTAAAAAAGGCCTAATAAATTCTAAATAGTAAGGTCTAATAACACCTTATGTATGTAAGGTCCAATAAGTTATTAAGGTCAAAAAATAGTTGATAGTTCTTATAGGATAAGTGTTAATATGTTCAGATAAGTTAAAATAAAGTCTAATAAGTTCACTAATGAGATAAGTAAAATTCAGGTAAAGAGAACACTATCTTAATTAGACTTATTTTGTTCACAGCAAAAAAATTAGACTTATTTTGTTGAAATTAGTGAATACAAGTATAAGACAAGAAGAGGAAGAGATATCCTTATATTTAGCCATTTTAAGTAGTACTGTCAAAACGGTTTGACAGTTCGATTTCGGTTCGTTTTGAAATCGGGTCGGTTTGAAATCGGTTCAAGTGTCTTACGAGTCGGTTTCAGTTTGGTTCGTTTAAATAATTATCGGTTCGATTTAGTTTTAGTTTATTCTTGAGCGGTTTAAATTGGTTGGGGTTGTAAACGGTCTGGGTAGTAAACGGTTCGGTGCAGACAGGTTGTGGTTTGTTAACAGTTTGACGTAAAAGGTTTTTATCCTGGTTCAAATGGTTTCGGGTTGGAAACGGTTCCGGGTTAGAAATGGTTCGGTTCTTTTTTGGTTCAGTTTTATTTTAGTTAAGTTTATAACTGGTTCGGCTCGTTAATGGGTTCGGTTCTTCTACGGTTTAATATTATTCGGATCGGTATTCATTTCGGGTTTACTAAATTACGGTTCGGGTCTGTTTTTGATTTCAAAAAATCGGTTTTTTATCGAGTCGTTTGGATTCGGGCAATTAAACGATTTTGGTGAAATTTGAAAGTACTTTCTAACTTTTTGCTTGTTAACAAGTTTTATATCAAGCCGAGACTTCATCACTTCATATTTAGGCATCATATTATATACAAATTCTCATTAATTTTACAAATACTTATCATCTTATGTTTCAAGTTTAGCCATGCTGATCTTTATTACGAAGTAGATTATAAAAGTTTAGTGCATTAATGTATTATTGTTTTACTATTATATTATTATCTGCTTCTTATTTGATCATTTAATTGATAGTGTCATAATCATGATTTGATGAGTTGTTGTGACATCGAAATTTGCAATTTGGTATTCGATACTTAATTAGTCAACAAGACTGATAATTAAGACTCGTTTATCATTATATATTTGCATAAAGTTATATATGAAGATATTACAAAGTAGTTTGATTTGTATAAGAGCATCATTATTGGTGAACAAAAAAAAATGGTTCATGAGTCACTATCACCATTTCTCTCTCATCCACATCAACCCAACAAACCATTTACAATATTCACTCTTAACAATGAACACTAAACAATGGTTCATCATCAATACTCCGTACCCCACCTTATTTTATTTTTGTAAATATAATCTATTTAATTCATAATTATAATTTATTAACTCGATGTCAATGTAATTAATTGACGTATTTAATTTTTTAATCGTGATTACTAATTAAGAAATCATCGCATTTTTTTATCAGCTTTTTTAAAAACTAATTCTTGTGATCAATATTTTTAAACAACAACGCAGCTAATTTTAATTAACATAATTAAAAAAAAAAAGAGGTACAAATCGTGATTACAGTACTACAACTATAATCAAGTCATTTTTTTTTAAAAAAAAAAAGAACTACTACACATCGTTTTGTAAGATGTCCTTAGGGATAACCATTTGTTGTAAACCTAATTGCGTAAGTTCTCGTTGTTACCAAATTTATTCCATATATGTGCGACCAAGTCGTTTTTTAGCTGCAAATGAGTCTGTTGATCCTCAATCTCTGTTCTACGAGTCAAGTATAAGCCGATATCCACAATACGATCAGTACGGTACTCGGTAGTGTCCTCATTAGCGTTGCCTCCAGCATTCATAAACTCATTGGTATTAACGTTATTTTGATACGTCTCTCGTTCATCTTCAACAATCATATTATGTATTATGATGCAAGCGAGCATGATATTGTGGAGTATGTCGGTATCCCACGCCAAAGACGGCTTTTTAATAATGGCAAAACGAGCTTGAAGGACCCCAAATGCGCGTTCAACGTCTTTCCTTGCAGCTTCCTGGTGTTTTGCGAATAAATGATCCTTACGAGCTTGTGGACTCGTAATGGATTTCACAAAAGTAGCCCATCTAGGGTAGATTCCATCAGTAAGATAATACCCATTCGTATAATGATGACCATTGACTACGAAGTTCACAGCAGGTGTTCGATCCTCTAAGACGTCTTCGAACACAGGGGATCGATGAAGCACATTAATATCGTTGCAGCTACCTGGCATCCCAAAGAACGAATGCCATATCCATAGATCTCTGTCCGCAACTGCCTCCAGTACGAGAGTTGCAACTCCTGCTCTTCCTTGATACTGCCCCTTCCATGCGTGTGGACAGTTCTTCCACTCCCAGTGCATACAATCAATGCTGCCTATCATGCCAGGAAATCCACGTTCTTCCCCAATACGTAGCAATCTTTCTATTTCTGCGATGTTTGGACGACATAGGTACTGATCACCGAACTGGTTGATGACACCTTCTGTAAACTTTTGGAGTGCCAATCGTGAAGTAGCCTCACTTATACGGACATACTTATCACAAGCGTCTGAAGCACACCCGTAAGCTAGTTATCTAACGGCCGCAGTGCACTTTTGAAGTGGAGACAACCCAAGACGACCTGTCGCATCTCGCCTTTGTTGAAACCAAGGGTCATGTTGGGTCACTGCGTTGAGAAGGCGCTCAAACACATGTTTACGCATTCGAAACCGGCGCCGGAACAAGGAACTTGGATAAACTGGGACTTCCGCGAAATAGTCATTGTATAACCGTGCATGACCTTCTTCGCGTCCCCTATCCTTTCGGGGCTCAGTAGATTTGCGTCGGCGTTGCTGAGTGGCAGCTTGAATAATTGGTGGAATGTACTCATGCATTACGTGTTGTATCATAAGACACATTTCATTACGTTGTTGAACTCTAAGCTCCCTTCCCTCATCATCCGAGTTAGATGAAGATGAAGAGGAATCGGTTGAGCTTAAGTTGAAACTGTTTGAATTCATTTTCTACGTAAGAAATGTAAGATAGAGTGAGGTTTTCTAATAATAACTGCAAACGATTTATGTGTTTGTGTGTAAAATAAATGAAAGGATGGTGTTTATTTATAGTGAACTAATTTGTAATTCTTCTTCAGAAATAACTGAATATAAAGAGACAAAGATCACATGGGCTATGACAAACACTGGATTAGAACCACACAGAAATTGAATGGAGAAGAAGGGTTTCACATGGGCTAACAAAGGGGAAATTAAGATACTGACACAATTATATATAAAGAGACAAATTGATATAATTGAATAAAGAGACAAAGATCACATGGGCTATGAAAATGGGATAGTGGAAAAGATCCATTTTACTGATTAATTGATAAAGTACAAATAATTGGAAATGGGTACAAGAGGTTGAACTGGAATTGAAAACTTATCACTACTGAAAATGAAGATTACAATGCCTAAGCATCATTAGTGAAACTTATAATTTTGTTCTGAAGTATTACTATCATTTCGTCTTCCCACTGTTCTCGGTTTACTTTCTGTTCTAGACGAGCTAGTTGCTCCCAGTGGATCCTATGTTGTTCTAGCTCAATTTTCCGTTGTTTCCTTGCCTCCTTGCGCTCCTGTATTTCAAGCCTCTTCATTTCTGCTTCGTTTGACACATTCATCGAATCCCCAAATAGCTGCAATCGGGTGTTGAATGTTTCTAATTCCTTAAATGCTTCACTTGATGGAGCTTTACCCTTCAACCTCGACTTAGCCTTTTTAATTCCTTCAACACGAGCTACTCTCTCATCACCGACACCCACGCTGGTTGGTGTGGTAGGTGAGGAATTGTCACCCTCATCCCGTGTCCTCTTCCCACTACTTCCGCTCCCTATAGACTCATCCGTCAGTGGAGTTGAATGTGGACGTCCCACCGAAGGCTTGAATGTTTGTTGGTCCAAGAAAGACCGGAATTTGTCAAACTTCCTAATTTGGATCCATTCCTCGTAGAAGGTGAATCGTCCGGACGAGTTCTCATGGATTTTGTGGGCCTCTTGGATAACATCATCTTCGTTATAGCCACTTCCCTTTCGCTTCCGGGCCTTATCATAGCTTTCGCACCACTTTAACACGGCTTCAGAGATTCGCATCCACCTTCCCTTCAGACTACTAATAGTTCGTAGGGATATTTCAACTGGATTCGATACCCTGGCAGCATCGTATGCGTCCAAGACTCTGTTCCAAAATTGACCCTTCTTTTGATTTGTGCCGATAATTATGTTGGTGCTGGTGTTCATGTAGGCGGATATAAGAGCCGCAGTTTCTGATCGCGACCAACTTCTATTGTTTGAACAACCAACATGAAATTCCGGAGTGGATTGGAGTGGTTGCTGTAACATTTGAGTGAAGTTTTGATGGGGGGAAGGAGTTTCATTTCCCTCACCATCATCCTCGCATTCTTCATTTGCCTCATCTTCTTCAGATAAGACATTGCTCGATTCCCAAATATTGGGGTTCGGTTGTTGTGACGGAAAATTACCAGATGCAGCACCATATTCACCGTAACCCATTGGTGTCATGGAGATGTGGGAAATTTGAACTGCTTTGAGAAAAATTAAAATTTTAAGGGAAATTTGGTGGATTATATGGGAAACTTGACTGGGGTCTTTGAGGATAAACACTAGAAAAATTATGGGGAATATTTGTGGGTGTTTGTGAAAAATTAGGGGGATTTGGATAGAAATTGGCTTGATTTGGGATAATATTTTGACCCAAATTTTTTTTTCTGCTTTCTATTTGTATTGGGGTTGGTATTAGCATCCATAATTATAATTTATAATTGGAAAAAAAAAAATTAATATTAATAGTAATAATAATAATAATAATAATCTTAATAATCTTAATAAACAGAAATAATAATAATAATAATAATAATAATAATAATAATAATAATCTTAACAATCTTAATAAACAGAAATAATAATAATAATAATAATAATAATAATAATAATAATCTTAACAATCTTAATAAACAGAAATAATAATAATAATAATAATAACGATAATAATAATAATAATAACAATAATAATAATAATAATAATAATAATAATAATAATAGTAACGATAATAATAATATTAATGATAATAAATAAAAATAATAATAACAATAATAATATTAATATTGGTAAAAATAATAATAATATTGGTAATTAGTGAGGGGATTTTTGAAGAGAAAATATAGTAGAAAAGAAAATGGATTTTTAAAGTTGAAGAAAGTATATCAATATGGGTGTCTATTTATAGAGGGGAAAAAAAGAAAGTCGTTGGTAATTTTTTTTTTTTTGGATTTGTATTTTGTAAAATATATCCGTTGTAAAATTACAACGGATATATTTAAAACTGACAACACGTGTCAAGCAGCGGCTGGGCCAAGTGGCGCGCTCCCTTGAAACGACGTCGTTTTGCTTTTAGTTGAGTGGAAAAATTGGGTGGGGCCCACAACGAATTTGTTCCTCTGACTGATTGCAGCAGCAGCAACAATCGAACTTGCAACCACTCAAGATGAACAAACTTAGAGTTTGCCATTAAGCCAACCATTTTATTGTTCACTCATTGTGAACCATTTAATTGTTCACCCTTAAGGGTGCTCTAATGAAAGAAAACATTAATGATTAAGAAGGTAATATTGATTCTTTCAATCGATTATACATACACACAACATCTAATTATCTCATATTCTCATAGTTAAATATTTATTAGTATAAAGTTATGGATTAGTAACATTATTTTGACTGGATCAATAATTTGAGTTGTAGTCTTAAGATTAGCTAAATATCATTGTTCGTGTAATTCAAAGTATAATGATCTACACCGTCACCAACTTTTATTTTAATACTCCCTTTGTCCCTTTATTTTTGCCACATTGTCATTTTTGGGGTCAAAGTTTGAAAACGTTGACTATAAATTACCGATTGTTATATTTTGTTTAAATATGTGGGTTGCAGTACTATTATTTGGTTGTTTGGTTAAAATTTTTTTTTACATATTTGATTATCGATTGTGACTCACCAGTCGGAAATTCCTGGGTCCGCCACTGCTAATGGTTGATTTCTTTCAAAGTTAGAAAGGTGATTTATATTGTTGTAGCTATTAGAGTGAACACTTACATCTACTTTGTGTTTCTGTTTTTTCAGCAATGGAGCAAGAGTTTGATGATTATGATGAGGACAGATAAGATTATTTTGAAACTATAGATTCTTAATACACTGTTCACAATCAAGATTCTACTCAACAGCAAGTCACTAACACTAGTGGTAGTAAGCGTGGACGAACATCAGATGTTTGGAGGCATTACACCTTTTTTGATAAGATGGTTGGTCTTGCTCTGATAAAATATGCTTGATGCAATGTTTGTGGTAATGAATATAAAACACTAGGTAAGGCAGGTACTTCAACTAGTTTATCTCATACTAAGACATGCATGAGTAAAAATCCACACCATCCTTGGAAATCATGAAAGTGGTGTTGAGCCCCCGTTTAATCAAACTCGTCATTTACAATTGCTTGCTAGAGCTATAATTTTGCATTCCTATCCTTTAAGTATTGTGGACCATCATGGCCTTAGGGAAGTTTTTACGAATCTGAATCCCAACGTGAAGCATGTGTGTACAAATACTATTTTGAAATATTGTATTGCTGAGCATGATAAGTTTAAGTCCTTGTTGTTGCAATCTTTTTCTGGAATTGAACGTAGAGTTAGCTTCACTTGTGAATTGTGGACAGCATGCACTAATCGAGGTTATCTCACTTTAACTGCACATTATGTTGATAAAATTTGGTGTCTTAGATCTAAAATTCTGAATTTTAGATATTGTGGTCCTCCTCATACTGGTGCTGAGATAGAAAAATTTGTGTTTAAACTTATTGGGGAGTGGAACTTTCAGGGTAAAGCTTTTATAATGACTGTTGATAATGCTCGATCCATGGATGCTATGGTTAACCTTTTGACGAAAGATTTAATGTTGACTTCTCCTCTTCCTTATAATGGTAATTTTTTCATATTCGATGTTCAGCTCATGTCTTGAACATTATTGTTCAAAGAGGTTTAAAAGAAGTTGATAGTAGTGTTCAAAAATTGCATGAGGTTTGTAAATATATTGATTCTTCAGACTCTAGACTTACTCAATTTGAGCATGCTCTTTCTGAGGTTAACTGTGTGTTTAATGGAAAGTTACGTCTTGATGTTTTGCCTCGTTGGAATGTCACCTATACGATGCTCCGAAAAGCTTTAGAAGCAAAGGAAGCCTGAAAGTGGTTATCGATAAGTTTATGGGTTATGAATTCAAACTTTCGGATGATGAGTGGGATACCTTACTAAAATATGTAATTTCCTAAAGCCATTTTATGAAATCACTGTGTTATTTTCTGGTTCAGAATATCCTACTGCAAATTTGTATTTTGCTAGTGTTTTGAAAATTGAGCACACAATAAGTAAAGCCCATATAGACCCTAAACTTGTACTCATGACAAAAGTTATGTTTGAAAAGTTTGAGGGCTATTGGGATGAATATAGTTTGATCCTTTCAATTGCTATTGTTCTTGATCCTCGCTATAAGCTTGTTCGAGTGACGAAGATGTTAAAAGTACTTTATGTTGATGAGGCATGTGTTGAAAAGGCGAAGGTGATTAAAGATGCTCTTTTGGAGTTGTATAACTTATATTCTTCTATGTCTTCCAGTTTTAAGTCAAGTACAATTGTTCCCAGCCCACTCCATCCCAACTGTTATCGATAAATCAAATAGTCACTTGGAGGATGATATATTCAAGGTAATCAGTTTCTGTTATTGTGGTTTACAAAAATAATAATTATATGTTTTAATTTTTATTATTTAATAAAAGCATTTTGTTTGAACTTTCATAGTATGTTGATGATGAGGATGGCCCATCAAATCGGCCATCGATGGAGATTGATTCTTATTTGTGTACTCTTTGTCAACCGACTTATGAAAGGCAGAATTATGAT